GGTGGGCACTTACTCAGCCCGGATGCCAGAGTACTTTGATACGCATTCAGAACATCCGAATTCGCCAATCGGTTGGTATCTCTGCGCTCCTAGCGTGAATGCAGACGTCTACAAAAATATATCCGTAGATCGGCGTATATCAGAGCGTGATTGGAGTCCACGCTCGTGGTCCAAATAGAACGACAGTTTTGGACACAACATCGAGCGGTAACTGATCGCGATGAAATCGAATTGGGTCCATGGAAGTCGGAAGTCATTGCTTGCAAGAAGACGAGCATTTTCACACAGGTGTAGCAACCGCTCACCGTTATCATTACGGGAGCCTACACCATGTTGGCCGCCCATATGCAGTTAATCAGTGGACAGTTTTCCAACTTGGGCCTTCAGACTGATAGCCAGCATCACAGTGTCGGTACTTTTTCTGTAACGAAGAAGCGCGTTCGGTCAGTGAGAAAAGGCATCTTTCACCGAGTCAGCATTACAGTTTGTTGTGCGTAGGCCGTAACAACAAACAGACACCGTTTGTCCCAGCACAAGTTCGAAGTGCTGAACGAATCAGCCAATCTGACAGCGCACATCCGGCTGTGAATTGGAATCCAATAGACCAGGGCAGCTTCATTCCGGTGGTTCGGAGCAATACCCATGACGGTTTGACCGGTATTTGAAGCTATATCATCTCCAGACAAACGCCGTATTGGGGTGAAATTTCAAAATGAACGGAAAAAAGTCGCTTTGCATTCATCAAATTGAAACACTCATGGCGTCGTCTCAACATCAGTATCAATCTCGAAGGTATAGATCACAGCGTCACTTGTTCGCGCGGAGGATTTGACACGGCTGTCAGTTTTCGATAACAGATGTTTGCAAACGACCACTCGCGTGTGGTGGTAGCACCATGTAAGCGATACGGAAGTCAGAAGCCGAGTACTCGGTGCGAACAGTTCCTGTCTCCAATACAGTGTACAATCATACCGTTTACAATGGTTGAGTCACGTACTGCGCATGTCAGCATGCATGTGGCTGGCTAGCCGAACAACCTAGTGGTGTCACTTGGATAACTCGGGATTATCCCCTTCCAGCCAATGGGTCGACGGCAATGTTCCAGGATGTGGGTGGGTCTACGCCTTAAGAAGCGTTCTCCCTATCAAAAGCCACGTATGTCCGTTTAACAACACTGTCGCGTGGCGGGTGTGACTTGCCACTAAATAAAGTCATTGCCCCTTGCCTCTTACTGAGAAGCCCTGTAATTCAAGAGTGTTGGGCTCCTGATCCTTTGCGATAGTAAAGGCGTATGAACCCCTTGTTTGGTCACCGGTTTCCAACGGGTTGCGAAGCTCTCATATCGCCGTGCTGCCTTGTAGCTTAGATGGATAATCAAATGCTCGGGGTGGGGCCCCTAAGACAACTCACTACTTCGGCCCAGACAACCGGGTAATAAAAGGCCCACGCTTGATATGGTTAGAAGGGACGACGCGGTGGACAACTTACAACCTGGAGAAGTCACATCAAAAAGCTGACGAAACAGTTGGCCTCGGTCGGTTGTTCTCGACTCACTGGTTGGGATTTCAGAGATATAGTGTTGTTTGTTGGAGATCCTGGAAGACATGTCTCAAGACCGGCGTCAATGGCGAACAAGTATCTCTGTGTGTTGCTGTGATTTCCCCTTAATTACTTAATAAAACAAAAAATAAAACAAAAACAATGAGTGGAAAAACTAGATGAAATGGTCCATCTTTTTTCCTATTTCTTCATTAAGCCATGATTCTGATAGCATAATAGCTATACCACTGATTGAGATCAATATACAAAAAAAGATTGGCGGCATCCGGTTCCAGGTTTGCCTGACACTTAGGCCTACATAAGACAGTCACAGGACGCCAGCGCACACAGAGGAACCATGGAGGGCTAACGCTGCACCACCCACAGCGGCCGCGATAAAACAGAACAGATGTAGAAGTTAATAGTCCGAGAATTAAAGAAGCTAATGAAGGCGGGATTGATTGATGCAAAAACTATGACGCAGCTGCGCCCTCGGGGATCTAGACTTCCTCACATGTATGGCTCACCAAAAACCAGTATTGAATTTGCTGGTCTCGATTGGATGGAGGAATTGAAGTTAAGTGACCAGTCAGTTAAAAGTATATGCCAGAAATTACAAATCGAACCAACACAGACACCGAATATGAACCACGAACTTTGTAGTCAAATTTTTGTACTGAAGTGACGCCATGCAAGTTTGTTTCAACTCGGTCTTGGATGCGGCCGGATACCGGTCGTGGTACCAAGGAAGTTGCGGAAGCGAATATTATAGCAGTTCCAATCAGGACATCCGGGAACAAGCCGAATAAAGGCACTGGTACGAAGTTTTGTGCATTAGCCTTAAATGAATTCAGGAATCGAACAGTTTTGCCAAAGTTGTGAATCTTGTCAGCAAGCGGCAAAGGCACCTCCAAAATGTTCGCGGCAACCTTGGTCCGAGTCGGAGAAGCCCTGGCAGAGAGTTCACTAAGATTATGCGGGACAAATCAACGGCCAATCTTATTTGATTGTTGTTGATTCCTACACGAAATGGTCCACGTGGTTCGGATGCAAAATCCCACCGCCTAGCACATTATCAATGAACTAAACAAACTGCTAAGGTATCTTGGCACACCGGAGATGCTGATTACGAACAATGGAGCACAGTTCACATCAACGCTGTTCCGAGAATATTGCATGCAAAACAGAATCTAGCACAACTTTTCGCCGCCGTACCATCCACAATCGAATGGGTAAGCCGAATGGTATGTAGATACCTTTCAAACGTGCTCTTCTCAAAGCGGAAGGAACGAGGGTGTCAAGAGATGCAACGCAGCCATTTTTGTGGATGTATCGAAACACTCCGAATCCAAACACCGCGGAACGCAAATCTCCTGCTGTATATCTATTTGGACGAAAAATCAGAACGACATTTGATAGCCTGTTGGAAAACGCAACAGACAAACGAGAGAAGAGTAGGATAATAGGCTTTGTAAGTTCAAAATCGGCGATTTGGTGTACACACGAAACCTCCAGACCTCGGGAAGATGATCTAGCGGAACGGTTACGGGGAAGAAGGGTAAGGTTATTTATGAGATGATGGTCGGAAAGGACAAGTGGGCCAGACAGGTTAATCATCTACGACCGCGGCGTGGAAAGACCTCAAGAACCAGCAGCACTACAGTGGGACATACTACTGGATATATTTGGGTTGGAAAACAGAACTGATCCCCAAAGCGGAACACAGCCGGTCGCTCGGGCGCCACACGACCTGTCATGCAGGCCAAGTCGAAGAGGAAGGCAACCGCGATGGCTACAAGTGAACCCCAGGGTAAAAAGCTACGATCAAGCCCAAGTGTGGAAAATAGGTAGGAGCAATCAATTTGAAGGGGGAGGTAATAGAGACGTAAGCAGAGCTGAATTTGGGAAGCGTCTGCCTCAGTGCGGTCGATCAGGCGATCGATCGAGTAGGCCAGTGAGTTTTTAAAAACAGCTAGTTGTACTTTCGCCCATATTTGTAAGTAGAAGGCTTGTGTGCATAGCCTGTGTGAGTTATTTCCTTTGACGCGACGCAGAGGTAAGAAGAAGCGTTTGCAACATTTTGCAGTGCGTATGCGTCCATCGTCGTTGATGAATCTGCCAAGGGAATGTGCTACCTGAAGACGTGGCAATGCCGCCCAAATGAAAGAGTATGAATACGTCCTCGAGACCTTTGGCTGTTAGTTTCAAAGCAAAATTATAATTAGATTCATTGTCCGCACAGATGGACGGTTAGCCGTCCCATTTGAGCGCTTTTGATCACTCGCGGAGGCAAAATGTAAATATGAAAGTAAGTGACGTGAAACCTTCAGATGTTATTAAAAGTAACAAACAGTTTTGACACCGTCGTTCTTCGCCTATAAGTCTACTTTCTAGTAAAATCGGAATTTCAGTCAGCGCGAGTGATCGTATGAGCGCACTAGGTGACCATTTTCATGCCCCTGTCAGTCCCAATTGGACACATTTGGAATGAGTTTCTGTCACACGAAAGCATTTTCGGTTTAACCTCACGGCTATAGTCCTGCATGATTACAATTCTGGAATCGATATCAGCTTAAGGTTGACGGTATTTGCAACCACAAAAATGCATTCATGATATATGGCAAGGGGTCCGTTGGAAAAACTTTCTCAGTGATAGAAATTAATCCTAAATGTGTCCAATTGGGACGGACAAGGGCACAAAAATTGGTCACTCGAGGAACTCCAACGGTCACACCAACAGACACTTTTGATCACTTGTGCTATACAGGTTACCCTCTTATGCATTCTTAAAATGCGTTATTTACTGTGATTCCCAACGCTTTTTATTATGTTCACATTTTGTTTTTATTACAGGCGAGTGTTGCAGCGGAGACTGCCAGTGCGATTCACGTGGACATTGATTGGTGTGCTGATTTGACTCTACTAGATTGAAATTATCACAGACAATATCATAACTCAAGACGCGCTTCAGAAGGAACGTCTAGACAAATATAACGTATTTCAATTCCAGCTCGAACCTTAACTTGAAGCCGCAGGAGCGGGTCTGGGTTCCACAAAAGAATACATGAGGCAAATGCTCTAGGTGAAATTATGTAGGTAGTCGGTCAAATTAGATGGCAACTAAGGTAGTCAAAGATAATATAGTCGAATATGATACGCAATGAACAACAAAGGTGCATCATGGCGCGAGAGAAAAACCATGATTCCTCTACAACCGAAAATACATTCAAATTTGTTTGCGCATGTCTGTTATATGGACTGTAAATGCAAGGAAGACAAGCAAACCAAACAAATGATGCAGGGGTAAGTGGTCTGTAAATATTTTAAAAAGGGTACCGCGTATATAACTATGAAATATTGTCGTTATCGATAACGACCATTTGAAATGTGGTGGAATACGATAGCAAGAAGATAACGTGAATTTGCAGACATGTGTAATTGTCGATCGAGGTATCGCTAACCCTGTCGAAGTTGCGTCATCCAGCTGAATTTCAGCCTTTTTTGTTTCAAGATCATCAACAACTGGAATGCCAAGGTTCTTCAGCAACTCCTCTGTTGTTTGTCGCAGAGTGGCAGCATTCAAATCGGGAAAACTACCAGTTTCATTAGGAATCTTTTTGACTTCATCACGCCTCTTTTTACCCTCCCTAATAGCAATTAACCGCGCTTTCTTCTGCTCTAGCTCAGTTTTCCTGTCTGCCATTGCGTTTGCAGTATGCGTCCAGTTGTGGATTCCGAGGGCTTCTGTGTCCAGCGTGTACGTATAGCCGTAATAAACCGGGGGAGCTGCAATGGAAAGCAATACCTCGTAGGTGGCTGGATGTTCATATCACAACCACTTAGTAAGAGATCACAGTAAATTAAACGTGAAAGTAAAGTGAAGAGTAAGAATCAATGGTTGTCTGCTTGAGGTACAACCATCTCCTTACCTTAGGAATAACCGTAAAGCAACGCACGGATCTGCTACATTATCTCCCCTGTTGACAGGCGCTGCGCTCAGCGCCTGCAGTAGCCATAGTCGGTCTCGATCTGCTGATGTGAAAAACAACTGATGATGCTTGCAACCGCAGCAAAAACCGCCCCAAAGAGAATCTCTGAGAACATGAAGCGGCGTCTGAAGCTGACAATGGTAGAGTGACGGACAGCCCCTAAGCTCTAGCACTGAGCATGCTTCCCCATTGGCGGATCATTGCTTCTGTGTTTGCAGATGACCAGGTGTCTGTACCGAGTTTGGTGTGCACCAGCCTTACCGAACTTGACAGTCTGGATTGTGATGTGGAAGAGGTACGTCAGCTACTCGACAATCTTGACGGCATCAAGTCTGCTGGGCTTGACGGGCTCCGCCCCCTGATTCACAAATCCTTATCAGCTATCATCTCGCCTGCCGTAACTGACCTGGTCAACAGGTCTCTGTCCGAAGGTACATTGCCGATTGATTGGAAATGCTCGGTGGTAACGCCGATTCCAAAAGGCAGTGACCCCAGCAAAGAAGACAACGACAGGCAAATTTGTTTGACACATTCTGTCCAAGGTTGCAGAGAAGATTGTGAAGAAACGTTTGCTACAGCCGTTCTGGTCAAAAGATCTCCTAACGCCCGCACAGCACGGTTTCACGCCTGGTCGTTCATGCATCACCAACCTGCTCGTGATTAGGCATGAACGGATGCAGGCAGTGAACCGAGCGAAGTATTTCTTTACATCGATTGTAGCAAAGCGTTCGACAGGGTGAACCATGAGGTCCACCATCTAAAGCCGAGAGTGTGTGGTTTTGGTGGATCTCTGTACCAGTGGATCCAAGACTTTCTCGTTGGAAGAAAGTGGAGGGTACAAGTCGATAGCCACCTAATCGATTAGTATCCTTCGACCAGTGGCGTACCCCAAGGCACGGTGCTGGGGCCTACATTGTTTCTGATTTATATCAAGGACCTACTTCAGCTTCTTCGGTTGCCGCGTGCCCATTTTGCAGACGACCTGAAGATATGGAGAGTGATAAGTGCACCCGACGACTGCGGCTTACTACAATAAGACCTAGACCGTCTATCTATGTGGTCTGCAGAAGTCCGCCTCCCGTTCAATGCATCCAAGCCAGTATTCATGAGACTGGAGAAGGGTGGTGAAAGCCGAAATTACACTTTCGACGGCCAACTGCTACACCCCACACCTTATGTGAAGGACCAACTAGTATTCTCACGTTACGACTTGAAGTCCGTTGACAACACAAACAGGCTATATCGTAACGCACTGCGCAAGTTCTGGGCACTCAAACGTAGTTACTGCATCTGGTTTGAAGAGGTTGCCACTGGCCTCTTCTTAATCATCAGACCAATGCTAGAGTACCGATAGCCCGCCTATTGCCCAACCACTCGCGACAAGGCGCAGAAGATTATAAGGGGTCAACACGTCGCTACTAGGCTCATCCCCAGTTTGCGAGGCTTAACGTACGATGACAGGTGCGAGAGATTGGGACTGTATACGCTGGCATACCAGCGGTCACGTGTCGGCCTCATCATGGCCTGACCGGATCCAACATGTGGGCAACTTCCCCATGCTAAGGCCACCGCGCCAGTTGCGAACGCTTTGCAACACAAGTGGACATCAATACAAGCTTGTGGCTCCGGATATGAAGCGAGTTCCCCATTTCCTGTGCTTGGAACGGCGAGTGGTAAATGTCTGGAACGGTTTGTCGGAACATATAGTGGAAGTGAACTCAGCGCAGCTATTCAAACTACCATTGGATGTGTATTACACAAATATTAGATTCCGTGAGCCGTTACCCACAGGCAACTCGCATCGTTGAGACCTAATCTGCTGTGAGTTAAACGACTTTTTAATGATATAACGTGAGAACGTGGAAAACGATAAGCGTGTTGAGAAGTAATAGTTTGCTTTCTCAACGTTTTTGATCATATTTCGATGGAGTTGAACGGATTAAAATTTCTACTAGCCCCCACAATACAGTATTCAGTGCAGCGTGCTCGGTTCGAGAGATTCCGCGACAAACAGTATGGCCACAAGAAAGTTAATGATAGCCTCAAGGGTAACGATCTAGCCTCAGGGACTGCTGTCGGGAGCAGGAAAGATCGTCGAATATGTGCTATGCATCTGGTTGACGGTCTGCTGATGTGCGAAACAACTGAGGAGCACGGTATACTAATTTCAAGAGATTGCACGACAAGCAGTGTGGTCACAGGAAGGTTAATGACCACATTCAGAGCAACGATCCAGCTTTAGGGACTGCTATCGGGAATTGGCAAGGTCGCCAAATATGTAGTACGTCTGATTGAGGATTTGAAGGACTTCCGTGTCCAGAGGGTACGTATGTTGTAATAAACCTGGAGAGCTGTAATGCAAAGCAAATAGGACAGGATAGGATCCAGGGATGAAAGAAACTTCCGCTTAACAAGCGAAAATGAGCCCCCAGCACTGCGACTTGATAGAATGTTTTTGATTCATGCAGTACTCATTTTTGTGTTGTAGAGAGAAGAAGGGAGGACCCATGTTAGCCCCATCACTTCCAGTTCAGCACTAAGAGCACGTATGTCAACGCGACCCGGTAATCCTCAGGGAGCCGGGGCAGTCGCTGTAGGACAGTGCGGTCTTGGTGTCTAAGATCCGGTTAAAAGTTTCCTCGGTCGTCGCATCAATAACCGTCGTCGGTAGACGATTCCAATCATTCACTACCCGAATGGAGAGAACGATGGCGGCGCCGACCTTGAGCCTCCTCGGTCTAAATAGCTTGCAGTTGTGATCTCGAGTAAAATTACCTATGTTGAGCTAAAAAGCTGCTGCAGCTAGTTTCCAAGTTCCCTCCTAGTATTTGTTACGTATAGATGAGGTTCCCAGGACAACGACGGTGTTACATGGAAAACAGATTCATTCCCTGAAGCCAGAGGGAGTAAGGCAGATCACGAAGTCTGGAAACGGACTTAGAGCCAAGCCTCTGGACCTTGTCAATTAAGATACATTCAAATTTAGAGTGGAAATGTAGCTGGCAGTCTATACACTAGAATCAGTCGTACATGGGAGGTGAACAGGAGCCTGAGGATTTTCGGTGTCATTCGATAGAAGAATCTTATGGCACAGCACATCATGTTTGCAGCAGCAAGCTTTTTCAGTGTATCCTGCGTGATTTTTAGATCAGGTGCTATTATTACACCCCGATCTTTCTCCTGAGCAGCGTGTTTGACAAAGAACGCACCAATGTGGTAAGTACCAAGTGGCTCAGAAGCCCCGATCAGTAGGGCGCAGCATTCTTCGCAATTTATTGGTGGGCCCCATTTGATGGACCAGTGATGCAACAGATCAAGGGTCACCTGTAGTCGATCAGCGGCGTCAAGATCAGGCACTTCAGACCACAGCTTGAAGTCATCGGCATAGATCAAGTAACCGGTTTGAAGAGTTTCAGGAAGGTACACAGCTTGAAGAGTTCGGGTCCAAGGACGGATCCCTGTGGAACACCGCTTGTCATGAACACTGGCTTGGAAAGCGTCTCTTTCACTCTTACTTGCATGGTGCGACCTTCCAAGAAGTCTGTAATCTACGAGTGAAGGCTGTTGCCCATTTTCATAAGCTTCCAAAGTAGTCGCCCGTGTGGGACTTTGCCGAACGCTTTGCTAAAATCGATGTAAACCACATACATGCGTTGTCCGGCGTCAATTGGTCTCGCCCACTTTGCTCTCGCCCACTTTGCTCTCGCTACCAAGAGGTTGGTGGAACAGGAGCATCCCTTCTGGAAATCATGCTGGATAGAGGAAGTGGTTATTTTGGTTGCAGTTTCCGCAGAATACATTTGATGATGACGTTACAGAGGATGGATGTCAAGCAGATTGGACGATAGTCCACAGGGTCTGGGCGATTTCCTCTTTTGTACTTACACATTACGATCCCAGTATTCCAGTCAGTGGGCAAACGACTAGTCTTCCAAGATAACTAGAAGAATTGGCAGATGAACGAAGCAAGGTAGTCAGCAAATGCCTTGAGGAAAAGGGGATGCAAGACGTCAGGGCCAAGTGAGGAGTTCGGGTTTAGTTCAAGTAGAAGTTTCAAAACTGCTCCGCCTGGATTCATTAAGTCCTAGGCAGTAGGAGTGCGGAGACTCATGTATGTTGGCGGATTGAGCATGTGGCGAGTAGACGGAGAAATACTGCCAGACAAGCAGGTTCGCTTTCTCCCCAGCGTGACAGAGCGGGTATGCCGTAACCGACTTTGGCTCTTGTTGAAATAGGCAGATAGTTTTCCTGGTTTAAAGGATGATCGTTCTGCTAAACTAGTTCAAATTTTTGTCTCTTCTCACGTTTTCCATGGGAACACAGGTTTCTAAGTGTCTGGTAGTTCGAGTAATCGGAGGCCAGCTGAGAGAACTTGAATTGGTCCCACAGTTTCTGTTACTGATTCCTGAGGACCGGCAGTTTCTGATCAATTCAAGGGGGGCCTTTCGCGCGGGAATGCATTCTAGTTTGATACAACCTGTTTAATGAGCAGGTTCATTGCGGAGTATAGGATATTCCAAGCACCACCGCAACGAGACTGGACTATCGCAACGACACTGAATCTTAACGTGGTGTGATGGTTTGTGTACCCCCCTGATTCACTGAGTTAGGCTGGGTGGTACTTTCAAGTGCCTCAGATCCACTCATACCAGACAGGTCAATGATTAGGGGTCAGACTAACTCAGTTTCACAATCGCCCCGCTGCCTTGCGGGCAGGCTATTTAGCCAAAGGCTCGGGGTGGAGTCCTCTAAGACAACTCCCTACTTCGGCTGGGGCAAGCAATTGGTACAACACCC